AAGAAATCTGGATGTAAACAGAAGCCTTTGCCCTTATAAGTAGCCTCTTCCTTCTGCTTGATCCATCCCATAATCCAGGGTGTTTTATGTGACTTTGGGGCTCAATTCTGCAAACCTTTGCACCCACAAATAGTCCCTATAGCATGCCCCAAAGGGAAAGGAATTAGGGGTCAGGGGAACAGTTTGCAGGAGATGATGCCTTCTAATCATATGGATCTTCAGGATCCTCTAGATCTGTGGTAGTAATAATAGTCTACATACATGGATGGTCTCCCTTCCTTATGGCCCAATGGCTGCAGTAGCAGCCATTCTGTTGCTGGCTAGGTCCCTCTGGATTACCCTCAATAGACCCTCAGTGAGTTACTCATACAGCTTCAGGCTGTATTTACTCCCAATCAGGGGTGAAATCCAGGTTTTCCATTGATCTCAGTGGGACCAGTATTTCACGCCAGACCTCCATACAGGGGACTGTACATCTGGTACTAGTTCATCCCTTCCTCATCCCTGTCACCCAAACCCTGAGAAGCCTCAACTCCTCAATGGGAAGGTGAAGAGAGTGAGATTTGCAGAAAGTGAGGTGTCCTAATGCCTTGGTATCTGCGGCAGCCCAAGAATGCAGAAGGTTCCCTGGAGGAAACATCCTTCGCCTCTGCATGGGCATGGAGATATCTGTCCCTGGAGGGCCCTCTGTACGTGTACCTTCTCTGTGCAGCCCTTTGTACCACGCAGCATTTTACGGGATGGGTATTCTTTCAAACTGTAAAACTGCACAAAGGCAAGTTGATATTTGATTTCATTATGACTTTTCACAAAATAGACAAGTCTAATATTGTACAAACTCACATAAATATAGGCCTTCCTGGACTCTACTTAGAACAAAGTGTTCTTACAGGATTACAGCTGACCTGTATCGCTATCTCATAGCAAACCAAAAACAATTCCAACAAGGTTAAAATGTTTAACCTTGGAACTATTTTAGTGTCAAGTGGGACCTATTTAATTTTAACACCACAAATTGATTAAGCCAAATAATTTCCAAGAGATTACTTTTCATATGCAAATATTAAAATAGCTCAATAAAATTCCTCATACATTTTCCAATTAAAATTAAAGTAATTGGGGGAAAAAGTTAAAATAATAATGTATGGCTGTTAAAATCATGCTGTCAATTTCCATCACCAGTTGTCTGTCATTTACTGCTATTCCACAGCACTATTGCATTCTATCTTAAGCGTCTGTTAATTAAAATGATGATGCATGTCCAACTCAGTGTGTTGCCTAAACAAGTCTGCTGAATTTTATTACAGTAAGTCTTTTTATTCTGACTTCTCAAGAAGTTTTTCACATCTGCAACTGCTTGCATTAAACATCAGCTATCTAGGCAATCAATACTTTTAATGGGATATGCTAAAAGCAATATAAAAATAATATTCTGTATATAATAAAAGGCTTTCACTTAATGACTCTTGAGAGGTTTCACTCCAAAGTGAAAGTTCTCTTCGGGGGGGCGGGGAGAGTTTCTGTGCTGGATAATGGCACTGACTTTATTTATTATGAATACTGTATTTACCTTTGGTGTCGAGTAGTTTAAAGAAAATAGGCTATGTACCTACATTTTGTTCACTGTAGACTCAGGCCTACAAGATGGCCAGCACCCTCAACTCCCATTGGGTTTAGGATGCTCAGCATCTCCAGGAGCGGCTTAGTACCATGCCGAATCCAGCTCCACAGCACAATAAATTAGTTTTTAAAATCCAGCACCTCAGCACATGATCAGAGATAAAAATATTGGCCACCCACTCATTTTGTCATTTCTCACTCCTTCACTTGTTCTAACACTCAAATCACACTCCTCATGAGGCGCAGACACTCTGAACTAAATCTAATGGGCCCAATCCTGCAAACCTTATTTCCAAGCATACTGCCTCACTACTACACACAGTTCCCTCTTGAGGTAAGTGGCACTGCACAGCTATAAGAATTACACCCTGGTTTGTAGGTTTAGGTCCATTAGTGGTTGAATTCCTACACTAGATCATAACCCCCCGCCCCTTTTTCCCCATAGATGAGAAAAACGGAAACAAAACATTAAAGTTAACGTAAATTTTGCTATCAGATAATACTATTGGTCCATCCGGCCTGGTAACCTGCCTCTGGGTATCTAATAATTCAGAAGAAGCTGTAAAAAACAGTGAAATTGCACAATGTTCAGCCACTGCTTGGTATCTTTAAAGAGGGGGAAACTGAGGCATAGGGAAGTTAAATAACTTGTCCAAAAACCACAGTGGAAGTCACTGACAGAACCAAGTACAGAACCAGGTCTCCGGTTTCCTAGATGACAAGACAGTCCTCATCTAAACCCTCTTCTAGTAGGCTTCATACACACAACCTCTGAATTTGCTAACGGTTCTAGAGATCCAACGTAGTCTATTTCAGCACAGTCATATCTTTAATCCAGCCACATTATTTTACCTGACAACTTGATGAAACACTTCCTTCTCCAAGTTGAGTAAGTACAAGAAAACTACAGAACATATTACTTGCGGGAGGAGGGGCAGGAAATGAAGGTAAATGAAGGTAAATGAAGTCTTTCTGAAAATCTCTCCACTTCAAATAACTTCTCTTTTTTTTTCCAGGTTATATTTTTACAGATATTTAATGGATCTTTGTCAGGGCCAGATCCTGAATTTCTTACTCAACCCTTACTCAGATCTGAAGTAAATAGCAGTTTTGCCCCCAAACTCATTAACCTAACATGCTTATAGATATTTAATTTACTTATCCTCCTCAAATGAAAACTGCATAATTACAAAATTAAACCCAACAATGTCTGTACATACATTTTGCATATTTTCCCTAAGTCCAAATGATCCTTTTAAACATTAATTCATTTATAAATGGCATATCATTAACTGACATTGAACTAAGTGTAAGCATATGTATCATGTAGGAAGATTCATGAGCAGGAATATATTTCACCCTTTAACAAGTGCAATATGCAATTTACTTTGATCAGAGAAGAATTAAATTTGTATAAATTCAGAAAACATATTCCATGGAGGGCAAAAGCTTCAGTGGGTGAGATACATGTAAATAGGCCATTTTACATTTGAGTGCTCTTGGAGAAAAATGTACTGTGCAGCTAAAATCGATATTGAATCTGTATTCTATAGTATTAACACTAAAAAGCAGCATTGACTGTAATGTGAAAGAAACACCATGGGCCCAATCCTGCAGTCCTTAACAGGAAAAACACCCTTTGGTTTCTAGGGGGTGGTTTGTTTTCTATGAGTAAGGGGGCTGCAGCATCTGACCCTAACTTAATTATAACTCAAACAATGACACACAATGGGCATGTAAAATGCAGAGCCTAAGTCTGTGTTTTAAACAGTTCCATTTTTGCATGGTTATGTTTATAAACTTCTTCAGAACAATATGCAATCATTAAAGAACAGTATTTGGGGGGTGGGGAGGGGAATGAAGAAAGAGGTTATCAAGGGATTGTCTGGAGATCCCATTTTTTCAATATGGGGATAGGATTTCACATTTGCAGTTGGCATTTTCTTCCTTTTAAGTGGATATTGGCTTGAGAATGGTCGTGGATTGACACTAATGGAAAGTAAATTTCTGTATCCTCAAAATATTTACAGTCTGTATAAAACAGTAATGCCAGCTCCCCCACAGCAATCTCTCTTGAATTTAACCTGGAAAGAAGCCTCTTCATAGGAAGGAACAGAGAAGAACATTTAATACATTCTCTCTCTGCTGAGACAGAGAACAAGGGTGGCAAACATGATAGTGGTTTCTGTGATGGAAGCCCCTATGCATTAGGAAATGGACTGAAACAACCAACTCATCTCCCATAGACACCCAAACAGCTGTCATATGGTACAAATTTCAGTCACTGACAATCTCAATTAAATTTGAACCAAAAGCCTAGAGGTTAGAAAAATGTCCCATTACCAATCCTTCAAGCCTTAAAATAATTCCATAATCAATACCCCCCCTAACCAAACATATGCACAGTTAGGGCCTCATCCATAGCCCACTGAAGTCAATAGAAGTCTTTCCATTGACTTCACTGGGCTTTGGATCAGGCCTTTATGGCCTAAATCAGTATAAAACGTTCTCTAGGCCCTGATTCTCCATTACCCTACACCTTGTGTAGTCATTTCCACCACATAGAATGGTAGCATTTTACACCCAGTTTGCCTAGGGGGAACTGACTACACAAGCTGCAGGGTAGTGGAGTATGAGGCCCTGTGAATCTAAAAAGATTGTAATGTTTACATTATTGAAGAGCACAGAAATTTCAGTTAATTTGTATTACTAAATTTCAAAAAGCTAAAAAGAAAAACTCTTTTCAATTGTAAGTAAAAACAAGTCAAATGGGTTCTACAATTTTCTGTCTTACAAGAAATGTGAAGTAGATAACAGTCATGCAATTTTAGGAAACAAAGACAGTTCCTCTTCCCAGGATCCATAATTTGAAACACAAATGTTCTTTAGCCTTCCATGTCCTGTTAGAGATAAGCTAAAACTTCCTCACCTGATACTGACGTGATTTGTACAACTCTCTCTAGACCAGCAGTCCTTTTCTTTATTAATGTTGGCTTTCTCTGAAGTGATGCCTCATGTCAATAACTATGGAAGGGCTGGCTTCAGAATTCACTGGGAAATAATAGAAACTGGGACAGAGCACGTGGGTCCTGATCAGGAGAAAGCTGGGAGATGGATTTCACTAGGGGGAAGTTACAATTAGAGTGGGAAAAGAAAGGCGTATTTGAAAATGTGCAGGCCCGGCTGCATTTTCTGAAACAGAGCTTCTCTTAGAGATAAATAGTCTAAAGAGTGACAAACATGCTTCATAACAATCAGTGGATCTTAATTGCTCAAACACCCACCAGTGCATTTTATTCAGCACTAAGCACTCCATACAAAACTGTTAGCATTCATCCTTTGAACCCAACCATTTATTAAAAGTTTGCATCTGAGTCAATACGATGACAGGCAGATAAGTCCACGCTTTGCAATGTGGTGGATTCTCATACAACGTGCCAGTAGGGATGGGCTCAGAATGAGTATATCAAATGACTTGGGCTGCCCTAAAATTTGTGAGTGAGGAAGAGAGTGGTGCGTATGCCACATACGGAGATCAGAGTAAAGGCAAAGAAGAGCACGGGAACAAACATGGGACAGCTGGTCTGTTGCAAAGACAGAGGGAAAAAAATAGTTTACACCCAGAACAATGCAGTAATCAGTTTCCAGTAAGCAGTATTAATTACCAAAATATCAACTAATCTAATCAAGAAGGTTAGTGTTTATTAGTCTCTCCAAGTAGCCAATGATTGTTTAATTTTACTCTGGAAAGGGATTTTAGAGTGGAGGCATATGCTTTGGTTTTAGTTTAAGTCTCTGTTTTTGTATTTATGTCATAAAAGAATGAAAAGTACTTAGATCTTGTTGGATCAATAACTAGAGTCAGAGACCACAACATCACAAAACATGACTGAATGTATAATAGATATTTTGGTGCTCAATTTGATGCTTGTTTTATTTAATCACAACACAAATAACAGCTAGAACATAACAAAATACCTTGCAAATTTCCGATATTAACCTCAAGAGCTTAAAAACAAACACACCTACAGCATGTAATGTTCTTACAGAGGTTGCAAACGCAGCTACAGACTAATAGGCCATAGAATGTGACTGCAAAACTTTAAAACTTGGGACAAGAAGTGATCTAATATCTAAGCTGCTGTGGTACATCAGACACTGACAAAGAAATTCACTATGGTAATGCCACTCCCTGCACACTGCCAAGTAGTTCTGTTAGAATCATAACCTATTTATCTCCTCTGAGTCAATAATAACAAACAGTGGTGAATGATCATTCTTTTTCTCTTGGGCTTATTACAATTAAGAGGGGAGGGGGGTTTGGCAAGATTTCACCTTAATTGATCGATTAATTTCTTAGGAACAATGAACCTTGGGATCACAAACTTGCAACACATTTTAAAGACTTTATCTGGAGCAAGAAAAGAAGTAAAAAACTTACCATGTCCCTGTAACAAAAAGATTATAGAAACAAGGAAAAAGGATAGCAAGTTTTGGAAAGCAAAATGGCTTGAAATACAGTAGTAAAAGTACACATTAGCAATGTTTGAAACCCCTAATGTAGATTGTATTATTAACAGAGTAAGGTTCAAGCAACTGACACCTGTTGATGTTGTTCTTGGCCACACTTTGAATTATTCCATCACCTCCCTGCCCAATGTTTCAGCATTCCCAAATGAGAATGTGAATTGCTACATAATGTTGTGACAAGGAGTCCGGTGGCACCTTAAAGACTAACAGATTTATTTGGGCATAAGCTTTCGTGGGTAAAAAAACACTTCTTCAGATGCATCTGAAGTCTTTAGTTAGTCTTTAAGGTGCCACCAGACTCCTTGTTGTTTTTGTGAATACAGACTAACACGGCTACCCCCTGATACTTGACATAATGTTGTGTGATTTGGGATGCTTGTAAACAAACAGAAAACCAAAAGCCACTGCTATATTTTCCCCAGAGCAGGGAAAGAGGGGCCAAGTGTAACAGACCTCTTTTAAACAGGGAGTAGGGGGAAGCAGGTGCTTCAGATAAGCACTTCAAGTCACTAAGCTCCCCAAAGAGACTACTATTAACCCCTCTTCTCCCCACTAAAGAGAAGGTGCAACACTAGGAGGTCTAGGCAACTCCACTATCCCTATGCAAACTGAAACGTCTAGAAACAAGCCCAGGAACACTTCTGTCTTTGAAAGAGTCAGGAACCCGTTGGGGAAAACTGGCCTGAAAGGCGCATTTCTTGTGCTTGCAGGGTTAGCCCCAAAACGTTCATTTCCCCCTGTGTTAGGGAGAGCAGGTCTCTTGTTCTTACCTGTCTGTCACCTTAACCGTATTGCCACGTTTGAAGATTAGAGGCCAAGGGGTGGGGGGAGATTGGGTCAATTTGTCAGTGGCCACGGAACGCATCTGCTTGGGGGCTGAATGGGGCGAGCAGGTTTCGCCGCCCGGGAAATTCATGGGGCTGAAGTTCCCCGCGCCAGGGGGGAGGCTCGCGCACTGCAGTGCGTGGAAGCGGGTAGGAGCTGGCACTTTCCGGAAGGCTCAGCGCTCCCCTCACTAGCAATCCTCCTGCGGGAGGCTCTCCGCCTGCCTTCCCCCGCCCGGCGGCGGGCTGGGGCATGTGGGCCTCTTTGGTATGCCGAGAAGGGACTGCTCCTTGCTGCTGCAGCAAAGCGCGCGGGGGGCACCAGCCCAAGCTGACCACCCGCCTGGGCGCCGATCTGGGTCTCTTTGCCCTGCTTTGAGCTGGGCCCCCGCTGCCTGCGCCGAGGCTGCTGCTTGTTGATGTTGGGGTGTCAGGGAGGCAGCGGGAGCTTATGATCTACTACACTGCAGTGCCCGCGTCTGGAGCTGCCGCTGCAGGGCAGCCAGCCCCGCTCACACCCACCCACCCCCTACCCAGCAGCACGCACACCTCTCCGGGCTCCGCGCCGCTCGCGCTCTCCAGGGATTGCAGGCACAGCCCGCCACCCCAGGAAAGCGAGCGCAATCATGGACGCGCTCGTGCAAACACAAGCCCCGGGAGCTCGCTCTCTTCCCGCGGCTGGGTATTTCCCTGCCAGGCTGCTTCTCCCGAAGACGGAGAGTTAGCCTCCCCCACCCTGCTGGCCAACGAAAAGCACTGAGAAGAGGGAGCGGGGAAGTGCCCCCTTGGGCTGAGATCGGGCTGCCCAAAGCACCTGCATTTGCATTCCTTATGTAATGTACTGCAAGTTTCCCCGTTGGAGCCTGTTTGAATGGAAGCCCATGATCATCACACTAGAGCGGAGAGAACAGACACGGAGAAGGGGGTGGGGTTCATCAAGGAGACGTGAAGCAAAGAAATAAACAACAAACAAAACCACCCAAGCCTGTGCTGCTGCTGGTGGGCCGGTCTACTTTGGCTTAGTTTCCCTCGAGGCACAAGAAAGTACCCCCTGATCTGGGCCGGAGAAGGGGAGGAGGGAGCGCTAGGGCAGAATGGGTGCGCTTTGGGGTTTGTATTTCACTCGGGAAAGGTGATCCTGGGTGGGAATATTGTACAAGCTAATCAGAAAGTCTTGGGCAGGACCCGAGTGGCATAGCCCCTGCACAGGAACTAACCGCAGGCAGGGGATCTCGCACCAGCCAAGAGCCCCTGAGCCCTCTTCTTCAAACTAGCTGCACCTGAGGGGGAGGGTTAGTCGAACATGGCAATCTTTCCTCTTCGCTAAAATGGGCAACAATATAAAACTTTCCTTCTCTCTGGACATACCCCCCCCCCCAACAGAAACCAAGAGAAGCAGCCTGGGTTTGCATCGTCGCCGAAGCTAATCTAAAACTGCTCCTTCATACACATATTCACATGGAGGTCCGTACTGCCCTCGTTATATTTCCCTTTCTCCCCTCCGCAGGATTGCAGAGCTACCTCAATGAGCAACAGACAGGATAGCATCAAAGGAAAACAATGCGATGCAATGTATTGCTTACCAGTTGAATTCTTGTTTTTCTTAAGACTCTTGCCACAAAGACACTGCAGCATATGCGATCCTTTGCTGAAAATGTTCCAAAGAAACCACATTGATTTGGGCGAAAAGCAATCCAGCAGCTTATACACCCTGAGAAAGAAGAGATCCTTGCGGTTGCATAATAATAAGCTGGGATCAGTTCTCCTGAAGAGGGGCACCAGTTTTACCATAGAAAAAATAATTATATTCCGATCTTCTCCCAGTTTTTTTTTCTCACGTGCTTTATTTCTTTGAGACTTCTCAATCGATGCTTTTTGCAGCCAGGTTATCCCCCTAGATCAACATTGGATGATTATTACCAAAAGCGTGAAAAAGAAATCCTTTTTCAGCATGAAGCCAAACGAAAAGTAAGGTGAAGAAATCCCAGCTGAGGCCAATAACTAAGCAGAGACAAAAGATCCCCAAAGAGAAAACCATAGCCTGTTACTCGATTGCTATGAGGATGGGTGGATCTGCAGAACAAAAGCCAAGACAGGATTCATCCTACTGAAAGACTGCCATTGTGCTGCCCTTAGGAGAGAAAAAACACACAACCAGTACGACCACCCAGATCAAGTCTGATTGATGAAGATGTATACTCCCCTCTTAGAGTGTTGATTTTACCATCAAATCCCAGTGATCTGTGTAATCTTATTGCACCTGCGGGTCTCAATCACCCTGCAGAACAGATGCAAATCTAGCCCTTAGCAAGATCACAGTATGTGGAGAGAGAGACAGATCTCTTTCGTTCCTCTCACTCTCCCTGCTTCCAACACCCGTGTGCATTTGGAACAGATCCCTCCCTGGATTTCGCTCCTGAGCCTTGGATGTGAGTTACAGGCATTAGATAGAGTAGGAGGAGTTGAAATTTGCATTGAAAGACTGGCTTTCCATGACGTAGCCACGTGCTTCCAGGCCTGTCACCAGTGAGATGCTTCAGCCAGCCCAGCGAAGGCAGTGTCACTGCAGTCTCTGCCTGCCCTCCTCCCTTCCTCGTCCCCCGTTCCCCCGCCCTCCCCCCAGTCTGTCTGGGCTGCCTTCCCCTTGCTGCAGCTTAAAATAATGGTCACACTCTGCCACTTGTACACCTGGGTGAAGTGAAACCCATCCCTGAGCCAGGGAGGAAAAGAAACTGGCATCCCTTCTGAGTGGAGAGAGGCAGGCTCCTGTCTGCAGATCCTTGTCACTTAAGGGGATGGCAGAGGAAAAACCTTGGTCCAGAAGCTCAACTCAGGGAAAAGGGGCCCTTTTCATAGGCAACCTCTCTTGGTCAGGCTCAGCCTCAGATTTCTTTTTGCCAGGCCTGTAAAAATTTTGCCACAAACTCCCCTCTCCCCATACCTTCCTCAAAATTACTGACTCCTCTCCCCACCTTATCTTCCTATTCCCCCCAAACACAAGCCTGCACCTCCACCAAGCCTGACTTTTGTCCACCAGGCTCTCATCCCACACTGCATTAACAACAGGGCAACTCTGTGCTCCTGAAAACCAGGAATATCTCCTTTTTCAGAGTCTGTCTCTCTGGGTTTTGCATCAAATGTGTTTTATAAACCCCAGCAGACTGTAACCCTTTGGGGGCAGTCCTTTTGCTGTGTGTTTGTACAGCACCTCGATGCTACAAATAAATACAATGCAAACAATAATAGCAATACACTGGCGACCTGAACTCACAGAGGTCTGGGTGAACGCATATGCTCCTCAGCTATCACCCCTAGGTTTGTCATACAGTAATGTTGCAACCAGCCCCTCATGAAGCTCTCCAGTGGGCATCACCCTCCAGTCAGCCTTCCCCCAGTAATGCCTAGACTGGGATCTGTATGAGGTCTGAGACTCTGAGCACTGCCACAGAAAGTGTGCCTGTGAGCACTGCAACTGGACCTGAGTATGGCAACAGTGGCTACTGACTCAGACTGGAAGTTGATGCCCATGCTTCTCGATCTCACCTTTGCTGCAGCACTACATGATATCTGGGTATTGGAGAGAGTCAAAGGTTAGAGGAGATGTGATACAGAGAATGAGTAAGTGTGGCAGACTGAGAATGAGGCAGAGATATGAGATCAGAATGATAGTGAAGGGAAAAATGTATAGGCAATATGAGAGGGAAATGGAGAGCTTTTCTCTCCTCTCCTCCACCCAGCTCCAACCCTCTACCAAAGTCCTCCTTTTCCAAGACAAGTGCCCAGGTTTTCATATTGAATATCACTCTATAAATTAACCATTTAATTTTCTTTTTTAACCACAAACACTGTCTTCATCTAGTAAGTCACTCTAAATATTTCCATCAGTTCAAACCCAGGCAGTTCTGTGTTTCTTCTGAATTTGTAGGTGCTACCACTGGTCAAATAGGCACAATAATAACTTCTGTAAAGTGTGTGTGTTGGGACTTTGGATCCTGTCTCCTGCCTCCCAGACTCTTGCTGCTTGTGTTGGGGTCTGCTTGTGGTTGTCAATGTTTAGGAAAGTTTTGCAATAGATATTTGGACAAATAAGCCAAGGTTCTGGGGGCTAATTGTTCCCCAGACCCAGATCCTCTAAGGTATCTAGGCACCTAAATACCTTTGAAGTTCTGGGACATAGTCACTAGTATGTTTTAGGGTTCATTCTGGTGAGATTTGGGACCGATATAGAACTGTGCAAATATTAATTATTTAGTTGTCACTGTCACATCTCTTCTGAGAAGTATTTAAATATTATTATCCCTATTTTACAGATGCGGAAAGTGAGACAGAGTTAACAGCCAGCATTTTCAGAAGTGATTGTATAAAATTAGGCACCTAAATCCACATCTCTAGATATATGTGCCTAAGAACATAAGAACAGCCATACTGGGTCGGACCAAAGGTCCATCTAGCCCAATATCCTGTCTTCCAACAGTGGCCAATGCCAGGTGCCCCAGAGGGAATGAACAGAAGAGGTAATCATCAAGTGATCCAAGTGCCTAACTCTAGGCACCAAAGTTTGAAAAAGTTGACTGGTGCAATTGAACAAAGGTCACAGAGGGAGTCAGTGTGAGGAGCTGGGTTTATTCCCTTGTTCAATCCCCTAGTCTAATAAACGATCCTTCCTTGTGTCCAGAGGTCATACTATTGTTCAGCAGAGGAGCTTGCTCAACCACCCTAGTGCCATCAGTGGTAGCCCAGGCAGCACTGCTCCTTTCACGTGTGAAAGTGATCTGGAGTCTTCCCACTTGGACCACAAAGGCCAGCACTACATGGCTGTGAGGGGACTTTGAATAATCTTTGATCTATACAAAAGAGCACTGACAAGCTTTCAAACCAAATGACTGGTTTGTATTAGTTACATTTTCAAAGCTACCTTCCCAAGGAAAAGGACTAGTACTTACCTCCTTTTCTTTTAATGAACTCTGACACTCTCCTTTACTTTTCTTGATTCCACAAACTACAGGAGGCTGTGGCTGTAGAACTGCAAAGACTGGCTCTGACAGGGGCATCTGCGATCGGATTTGTGGATTGGCATGGGGGTGGGGACGAAGACAAAGACACCATCTCTGGTAGGAAGAGAAAATACATGGTCAGTCACCCTTTGCCTCCAGTGACTTCATGTCTAGGCTGAGCAGTGAAGCAAGAAAAACCTATCTGGGGAAATCATCCTCCTTAGGGAGGGAATGAGAGAGAACTTGCCCAGACTCTCCTTACTCAGACTTGAGGTCTATGAAAGGTTTGTCTGAGTCAGGACTTGAGGATTTGAGCCACAGTGTGTAAGTAGAAGAGATCTCCCTTTCTCAAATGAAAAGTGTATAATTAAAAAAAAAGAAAATCAAGCATATATGTACATGTGATTTGCATATTTTTCCTAATTCTAAATGATCTTTTAAACATTTTAATTCATTTATAAATGGCCCTATCATTAACTGACATTGACCTAGGTGTAAGCATTTTAGCACAGTAAGGAAATTCACAAGCAAGAATACATTTTGCCCTTTAACAAGTGTGATATGCAATTTAATTTAATCAAACCAGGATTAGGCAAAGACAAAAGGGAGAGAGAGAGGGAGAGACTCATCCTAGGTCTCTGAGGAGAGTGGGAAAAGCAACAGCCATTTGTAGCCCAAATCTCTTAGTTAGATAGGGAGAAACAATCCTTCACCCATAGGGTTCTCCCAGGTGAGAAACCAACAGGCAGTAGGGTCACAGAGTGAGATTTTGGTGGGCAGATTCCTTCCCCAGATGTTCTAGTTCCAGCTCCCACTTGGGGGGAAAAGACAAGCCATCAACGACGGACCCCAATTTCCCAGGCGGGGACAAAAAGCTTCCTCTTATCCCAGTGGAGCCCATGTCTTGGATGGAGGAGGAGAAAAGAGAAAGCCTTGCCCAGCGAACCCTTTTTCATGGTAGAGTGTAAAAGACAAAGCTCCACCCAGGGTCTCCATCTTCTAGACAGGAGTGAGAAAGAGAGATCCCCACCTAGAGATTTTTATCTTGCAGGTAGAGGAGGGGAAAGAATCATCTGAGGACCCATCTTCTTGCGGGGGAAGGGCAGGGATAACTACATAAATCAGGCAGATAAAGACAAAATCATGTCCTGGAACCCCATCAAGAAAACAGAGCCTCCTTTCCACCACACCTCAGAACTGCCATACGGAACAAGCACGGCATGTTTCTTCATAGAGCAGGAGGACTGAGGAGATGGCCAAAACAACATCTCTACCCTACCATTTCTGTCTACGCTGCAGCAATGAGACAGACAAGACTGACTGTGAGTATTTAGATTGTAGAGTCCTTGGGGCATGGACTATGTTTTCCTCTATAATCTGTACAATGTCAAGCACATGGGTAGTATTTAATGACTAAATAAATACATGTTTAAAGCAGCTGCTCTCTGCCATACTAAGGGGCACTGATCAGAAGCTGCTGACTCTAAGGCCTGGTCCCCACTTAGTCCGGACTTCGGACTAAGGTACGCAAATTCAGCTACGTTAATAACGTAGCTGAATTCGAAGTACCTTAGTCCGAACTTACCGCGGTCCAGACGCGGCCGGAAGTCTCCCCCCATCGACGCCGCGTACTCCTCTCGGCGAGCTGGAGTACGGGCGCCGACTGTGAGCACTTCCGGGATCGATCCGGGATCGATTTATCGCGTCTTAACCAGACGCGATAAATCGATCCCAGAACATCGATGGCGTGCCGCCGGACCAGCCGGTAAGTGAAGACTAGGCCTAAGACTCTCTCTTTTTCATCTCAGCCTCTTCCAGTCTGAAAAATTCAGATATGCCAACATGAAAGGGCTGTTGTAAGGCTAACTTAATTGAACCTGATTCTTTATCACATTTCAGGGGAGATTTTCTATGCCATATTCATGGACAGAACGTGAGAACCAAGAGCAGTGCAGATGAAAATGTCCAGCAGCTTTGGAAATGGTTGCCAGCCCATCCCAAATGGGAAGAGGGAATAACCTAGGCGCCTCTGTCATCCCTCTGCAGAGTTTGTGGGAAAAACCTAGTGGCCCCTCTTATCTCTCTGCAGAGTTTGTGTCCAGGCACGCCCACTGAGGGGATGAGGTGGAAGGGTTTGAACACAGGAACAGTCGTACAGGTTTAGAACACATTGGTCCATCTAAATAGCCAAGTCTGGGGGGACTGTGTGAAATTTCTCTCACAAGAAAGGGAGGGAATTGAGATGTGTCAGGGAAGCATGAGCCCTGCTATAGCTCTGGGAATAAATGTGAATGGGAGAGAAACTTTCCCCAAAAGAAGAACAGGAGTACTTGTGGCACCTTAGAGACTAACAAATTTATTAGAGCATAAGCTTTCGTGGACTACAGCCCACTTCTTCGGATGCATATAGAATGGAACATATATTGAGGAGATATATATACACACATACAGAGAGCACTCCCAAGAGGCAGGTGCTAGGTGAGTCTCTGACCATACACACTTCTGTTGGGAGTTTACAGGGAGTCACGTGCTGAATCTATCATCTATAACATCTTTGACGCCAAAATAAATTGGGGTATCCTTTGGTATCTGTAAGCTGGCACGGCCCTCCTCACAGTTTGGTTTGCTAAAGTCTTCTCCACACTAAGAAAAAAAATTAGCGGTTCTCAATGGACCCCAGCCTTCAAGCAGGACAGAGCCATAAACAGTCTGGGCTCTGGCCCACAACAAGGCAGAGCGATAGTAGTTTATTTGCCTGGCCATTAAGGAGGGTGGGGCAGCAAACAGTCAAGGCTCTGGCCTGCAGTCAGGCAGAGCTGTAGCACCAGCCCAGTCTATGGGGACCAGGTAAGGGAGGCCCAAGGAGTGCAGGTCTCCTGACCTAAGGAGGTGGAGTACTGCCATCTGGGTTGGGGTGACTGGGGGGACACGGGCCCACCCAACTCCACTGCATCCCAGCCCAGGGCACTAACAGTGGTGAGGGGTCCACCACTGGGTCAGCGAGGATCCACCCACAACACGCTGATCCTGTATCAGGCCAGTTTTCGACCAGACTGTTGCCTGGTTTCCTTGGGCTGCTTCCTACTCTACCCCTCGGGTGTACCCATGTCCTCAGTCTCCCTGGGATATGTTGCCAAGGGTAGCGGCAGCAGTTCCTCAGCATCGGGAGTGGCAGGGTTCTCTGGAAACTCAGGGTGGTTTCCAGGGCAGTAACGGTTCTCCTTGGCATCCCACTCCACCAGCAGGGAAAGAGCATCTGTCTCCTTCCGCAGCTCCCTCACTGAGCTGCTGGGCCGGACTTTTATACTTCCCCTTCCTGTTCCGCCACTCTGCTTCTGGGATGTGGGGCATGGCCCTCCTGGCTCCACCAGGCAGCTTACGGTGTTCCCTCAACATCTGAGGGAGGCCACACCTCCTTGCTACAATATCCCATCAGTTGGAAGGGCTATAGCCCCAAGGAACATTCCTGGGAACCTGCTGGAAATGTCCATGCTCCAGAATCCATGAAGGTCTTCCATAGGGTCCAGCCTGGGAAGCCTGGTCCTGTGACGTCCTGGGGGCACCCTAAGTGAGGGGGCGGGGAGGTATTATGCAATGATCCATGAGTCCTCAAGCCAGGCCCATGGGCTCTTGGGCCACTGCTGCATCCACAACACTACCACCACCACCCGGCAGGCCTACTACTGTCTGGAGAATAGAGACCTCTACAGCCTTACATGTCACTAAAGGAATCATCCCCAGGGACCTGATTGGAGGAGCTCTGGAGCTCCTGATTGGTCTGAGTACACTATTTAAGCCAAAAAGACACAGGAAGTTGTCTATACAACATGGTGGATTCCGGCTTGTTGCTGCTACAGATCCTGTCATCTACTACCTGACTTCTAGACTCATCCCCAGTCCTTGACTTCAGCCCCATCTTATTCCCGGCTCCTGCCCTCAGCCTTGCTCAGTCCCTGAACCCTGTTGCCTCAGTTCCCGACTGCCCCTGCTGCAATGCTAGGCTCTGACTCCTTGGATTTTGACTCAGTGCTGGCCCTTGGCAACGGCTCCTGTTTCCTGTCTGACCCCAGGCTTGACTCCAGCTCTGACCACTAGCTCTGTCTACCCCAGCCCCAGTCATGACATCAAGCAACTGCAGGGAGCGACTGGGGCAGTTCTGTGGCGGTGCTGGGGGGGCAGTTGGGTAGGGGTAGTTGAGTGTGTGGGGAGGTGCTGGGACAATTGTGGGGCACAGAGGCAGCAATGTGTGTGTGTGTGTGTGTGTGTAGGTGGAGTCCTTCCCTCTCCACACTGCTTCCAGGCTGCTGCAGCATGATTGATAACCCCCAGGAGAGGGAGCCAGTCAGAGAGGATGCAGAAAGGCCACCTGGTTCCCTGCTTAAGGAATGCCACTGCAGCCCCTGGTGCCTGGAAGGAGCAATGGCAAGAGGAATCTCAGCTGCAGCCTCTCCGGAGCCCAGTGGGATACACGAGAATTCGGCGGGGCTGTAGGAAAGTGCTGCAGGCATGAGTGTTACATGAGGAGGTGTGATACTTGGCAGCCCTTCTCTGCCATTCTGTGTTTGACTGTGACCAGTAACAGATGCTTTAGAGAAGGTGCCAGAGTCCTTGTACTGGACAATATATGACTTGTGTTGCTGTGACACCTACAAACCCCATTGTGCTAGGTGCTATAAAAACACACAACAATGACTATTCCTGGAATACTTCTGTCCTTAGGAGAAGTTATTTTGTTAACCTCCAAGATCCTGCCATGTTGGGACAACCCACAACCAATTGTGGATGCAGGGGGAGATATTCAAAGGCACAAAGGGCATTTAGGTGCCTGGCTCCCATTGATTGTCAAGGGGAGTCAAGTGCCCTTTGTGTCTGTGAACATCTCCCTGAAATGTGGTGGAGAATCAGGTCCAACAAATTTAACCGTACAACAGAGCTTTCAGGAAGGTATTATCCCCACTTTTAAGATGGGGTGTGTGTGGGGGGGCGGAAACTGAAGCACAGATAAATGAATAGGTTTGCCCAAGGCCACACAGGAAGTATGTGGTTGAACCAGCTCTTTTAGTTCTATCCCAGTGCTTTAGCCACAAATTTATTCCCTCCCTAGGAAATTGGAAAATGCCTTGCTTCTAGTTCTCAAAAATTCAAAGCTAGGGCCAGTTAACAACAACATTACAGCTTATCAGTCAGTATGATGATAGATAAAGGGAGAGGCGGTCCTAGAGGTAGCTGGGTCCCAAACTACGTAGGGTTTTGCAGTTATACCCCAAACCTTGAAATCTGTACTGAGGCAGGTGGGAAGCCAGTAGGTCTGATTCTCCCCTGCCTTGCCCTCTGTGTTGACATTTACGCCTTTACAAAGTGGGTGTAAAATGCTACCATTATGATTTGATAGCATTTTACACCCACTTGGTAGCAGTGTAAATGATGACACAAGATGTACGATAGGAGAGAATCAGGGTCAGGGTGTGCAAACACAGGTGCAATAGGTTCACACTATTACCCTCTAGATTTAATAATCCATCCTGCCACCAAAGACAAGAGCTTATTCTAAAGTGAAGGGGTCACTATTTGAGGGAAATGCTAAACTTCCAAAGGCGTGTTGCCAGCCTGATACAAAATGGAAACTGAGCGCAGTGTAAATAATTCAGAACTATTTGAATACTATGTCCCAGACCTGGGGCTGTGTCTCAGCTGCACTTGGTGTAGTCAGGAAAGGTGGACAAAGATGGCTTTACGCTACCCATACATTATCCTCTTCCCTCTACTTTGATCTTGGGACTGGCTGGGGCCGCTCTGGTTTCTGGCATAAAACCAAGGAGTCTCAAGATTGCTTTAACTTATGCCAAACTGCCTATGGGGCCAAGGGGCCATTAAGGCAGTTGGATAGCATAGAGGTCTATAGTGGTTCTTATGCCACCCCTCCTCCTGGCCCCTGGTGTAGGGTCATGCATACTAGAAAAGGATGGATAATCCTCCATCAAATGGCTGAGGTAGTATTGCAACTGTTTTGCACCATCAGAACACCACAAAGAAGCCATAGCAAGGCCTGTCACCTGGACCAAATTTGAGATAACCTGGATCACTTTTACACACATACAAAATAGAACAATAGGCATTAGGGCAGAAGACATTTATGTTAAAACAGAACTGGTCCTGGCAGTGAATTTTCAAAAATCGATTCATAGATTCATAGATTATAGGACTGGAAGGGACCTCGAGAGGTCATCGAGTCCAGTCCCCTGCCCGCATG